TTTTCCATTCGATTGGTATATTTGTTACTTGTAAATTGTTATATGGAATACTTCTTTTATTACATTTAGAGAGAATTATTTCCTCGGATTTTTGGGCATTAATTTTAATGCGCCACAATTTCGTGTAGCTTATGATTTCGTTTATATGTTGTTGAATTCTCTCTATTATTAAAGTAACTGATCTTGATGAGCTTAGGATTGCCGTGTCGTCTGCAAATATCAGCATGTCCGTTTTGGGGGAAACTGGAATATCATAAATATATAAGTTGAACAGTGTAGGTCCAAGTATAGATCCTTGAGGTACCCCTGCAGTAATTTGAAAGTACATTACCAATTTTTACTTGAAAATTTCGATCACTGAGATATGATATGATAAATTTAATTATGTACTTTGGGAATTTTAAAATAATTAGTTTATAGATTAATCCTGTGCTCCAAATTGTGTCAAAAGCTTTCTCAATGTCAAGTAACACTAGTCCTGTATGATTTTGTTTGTTAAAGTTAGTAATGGCTTTTTCTACCAGCACAGATAGTGGATGCATTGTAGAATGTCCTTTTTTAAACCCAAATTGAAAGTTTGGTATAATATTTAATTTTTCTATATGTTTGTTGACCCTGGTTTGTACGACCTTTTCTGCCACTTTACTCATTGTGTTGAGTAGTGCAATTGGACGATAGTTTGCTGGTATATTGTTTATTTTACCGGGTTTGTGTAATGGCATCATGATTGAACTCTTCCATTGAGCTGGAAAATAGCCCAAAATCAGTATTTGATTTATTACTCTTGTTAGAAGTATCAACGCTTTATGCGGCAAGTTTTTAATTATGATGTTTTGCAACCCATCGGGACCTGGAGCTTTATTGTTTTTGAGAGTTTTTAATGTGTCTATTATTTCCTTGACAGTAACAATTTTAGTCTTTGATCTACAGTGAGCAGTTTTAGAGATGAATGATTGTACTACATTTTCTACTTTCTGGGAAAATAAGGTGTTTTGACTGTCGGAATTTAATCGATAATTATTTTCAAATTGTTTAGCTAGTGCTTCGGCTTTCTGAATTTCTGTCGAGGCCATCCCCGTATCGCAAACTAGGGCAGGTATTTGTGGAAATCGCTTTGTGATGCGTTTTATAGTTGGCTAAATATTATTCGGATATGTGTTAATTTTGTTCAATTTATCAGTCCAACATTTGTTACGATATTTCCATATTTCTACTTGGATTATTTTTGTTAGTTTATTCACATGGGATTTCAGGTGTTGGTTCCCAGAAACTTGCCAAAGTTTTTTGACTTGATTTTTGAATTTTATTTTATTTATTATGTCTTGTGGTAAGTTGTCAGCAGTATATTGTTGTGGATTTCTAAAGGAATAGCTAATTTAATAGCGTAATTTATCGTGCTTGTTAAGTGTTCAATTGCTCTATCTAGATATTCTTTTTCAATTATTTGCATCCTGTGATTGATATTTAAGTTTATTAATTTTTTAAATAGGATCCAATTGGCTTCTGCGTAGTTTAAGTACTTTTTATTGTCAGACTCATAAACGGTTAATTTGTTATTTATTTGTATAAAGACTGGATTATGATCCGAGTTTAGACATGGCAGAGATGTCGGTTGAGTTGTTATATGTACATTTTTTGTTAAAACCAGGTCAATAGTACTATTGTTATGATGCACACATTTAGCAAATCTAGTTGGAGTATCTGGGTAATGCAGCTGAACATTGTTTACTGTATTATTAATATATTTGTATAGTTTTTTACCACTGTTATTATTTCCTCTGCATTTCCACATTACATGTTGAGCGTTGAAGTCACCAGCTATAAGCACTTTATTGCTAACATTAATGAGTAATTTGATGTCACGTAGTAATAATTTGTTGCACGGAACATAAATAGATATTATTGTCAGTTTAGAATTTTCAGTAAATATATTTATGGCAGTCGCTTCAGTGTACTTCAGTTCTGGTAAGTTGAGTTGCTCATGCTTAATGCAACGCCTGACAAGAATGGCTGTACCTCCCCATGAAGAGTTTTCTCTATCTGTTCTATACACTTTGTAATTTTTAATATAAAAAGTATCTTTCTTTTGTAAATGTGTCTCATTTAAAAGGACTATATCAATGTTCTTAGTTTCAAGTAATTCAATAAGTTCAGCTCGATTTTTCTTGATGCCATTTGCATTAAAGTATATTACATTAATGTTATAGGTTTGGTTCAAGGCCATAATTTTAATGAGTCAAGTATTAAATGATATTTTTCACTATAGGTCTTTGCTGTCTTGAGAGCTGTAGATAATGTGTATAATTCCTTGAATATTGTTGCCACTTCTGGATCTTCAAATGCTGCTTTTATATGTTTCGCTGCTTTTAAAATCCCTTCTGTCGTGCTAAAATCCGGTTCTGCCAAAGAGTTTACCGCTGGATTTTGGGGTTTGGATTTGCATTGTTCTTTTGCCTCTGAGATGACAGCAGAATATGTCCTCGACGCATAAGGTGAATTTGCAAATTTATTCTTCTTTTGCTCCTTATACTTGAGCAAGTATTCACAACGCGAAAAGTTCGCAGGGTGTTTTTCTCTACAGTTGATGCACTCTGCTGGTTCATTGCTAGTTTTTTACACTGTCCTGGTAAGTGGTCTTCAATACATTTTACGCATCTGTATTTCAAGTTACAGTTGTAAGAGATGTGACCTACTGTTTGGCACTTTCTGCATTGTTTAACATCCGGTGGTTTATAGTTCTCCCATTTAAAAAGATGGCCGTTGATGTTGTTCACCTTTTTTAGATTATTCATATCCTGACTGTTATCCAGTATTATTATGTAGATAGGTAGTTTGATTGTGTGTCCATCCGAATGTTTTTTCTTGAGTTGGATAACTTTTTTAACCAGTATGTTGTTTTCGATGAGATAGTCATGAACTTCCGTATTTGTAATGTGTGGGTTCAGTCCAGTAACAGTAATTTTTTTAGAGAAATTGTTACTGGTGGAGTAAGGAGTATAAAATTGAAGTTTTAATTCTTTAAGTTTGTTTTTAATAATTTCATGATCTTTTATATTGGTAGTGCATAGTTTATGTCTGTATGGATTAATGTATTCAAGAGTAAATGATATTTTAGTAGCGTCTTTTACGTACTTAATAGTTTTAAGATCAATTGTGCTTCTGATAATGATAGGTGGAATTTTTGTAGAAACTTTATTGATGGGAGCCTCTTCATTACTGTTATTATTGTTTGAATTTCTCCTTCGTTTTTTGTTTGTCACTGTTTGAAAATCGTCCATGTCCATGTCATCTCTGTCTGTTTAGGAATCGAAACTATTTGCACAAGAAATAGTACTTGTGGTTTCTTCCATTGTGTTTTGGGTAGGATCTACATTATTTAAATTTATTTCTAAAGATTTCCTGGAAATATCCCTAGGTAAATCTTTGTTACCTTCAGTTCTTCCTGCAACTGAATCCAGAATCGTAAATTGACCTTGGTATAAGTTTCTCAATTGCTGCTTTAACACTAAAGACTTTTTATCACCACAATCTTCGGTTTTCCAAAGATCCTTCTTCTTCGTTTTGCCCTTCCACTTCGACATCAGCCACAATCCGGAAACATTTCGAGCACTTCAAATATCTTCTGCGCCAATCTCGCCAACAAGTATCGACCAAGTATCAGAGTCGAGTCCCTCTTCTCAAGTCAGTTCTGCCAAGTATCAGTATCCAGAGTCAGTATCAAGTATCGGATTGAACAAAGAAAGAAAGAGCTAAGATCTGCATCCAGTGACGCAGTTCTTTACAGTATGATATATAGATTGTACAAAACAAAAAGGAAAATAGAAACTAGTACTTATTATTAAACCTAAAACAAGTCGTTGGGGTAGTTCTTTTTCAGTCTTCTGGTTCTAGCAGCTTTTTTGCAAGGTTATTTGGGTGAAAGGTGAGCCTATTACGATACTTTAGACAAAGTCTAGGAATCTCGTATCTAATGAAAGAGACACCCAGTTCATCATGGAGTAACCAGTTGGGGGTGTATTTAGGTGCGTTGGCAATTTGCCTAAGTATTTTATTTTGGAACCTCTGTAAGATTTCTACATTTGAGTGGCTGGCTGTGCCCCAGAGCTGAATGCCATAGGTCCAAATGGGTTTAAGTATTGATTTGTATATCAAAACTTTATTTGACATCGACACTTTACATTTACGACCCAGCAACCAATATAGTTGTCTTCGCTTTTCTTCGAGTTGTTTACGCTTTTGGCAGATGTGAGTTTTCGATCCAGGTGAAGTCCCAAGTATTTAACATTATCCTTGTTGGGTAGCAAATTATGGAAGAGAGTCACTGGTGGGCATGTATGTTTGCTCAGTGCAAAGGTGACGTGAGCTGATTTTTGGTTGTTTACCTTGAATCTCCAGATGCTAAGCCAGTCTTGCAGTGTATCCAGGTTTGATTGTAGGAGGTGTGTCATGACGGGTAAGTCATGAGTGTATAAAAGATACAACAAGGGTCCAAGTACACTTCCTTGCGGAACACCGGAGCGGATAGGCCGAGTTGAAGATTTTTGATCACCTATGCTAATGAAAAAGAATCTGTTTAGTAGGTATAATTCAAGAAGAAGGAAGTATTGAGCAGGGAGTAAAATATATAATTTATTAATATAAATATGTATAATGTTTGACATTAAATAGTGCGTGCATCATGTGTGTTATCACATTACTAAGAAACATTATTCAAAATTATTATATGATGTATTTATTTTTAACTTAAATGCCATCTCGTACGACAGCAAAACAGTTTTTCTTTAATCGCGTGAGAACCTCACGCGCACTCTTTTTTGTTTTGACGCTCATAGAATTTTTATATTCTGATTGCTAATTATTAATAAAGAAAAAAAACAATATATGTAGATAATAACTACAAAAATAATAAAAAAAATATATGAACATTGCACATTTGTAATATAATTTGTAAGGTTACAACTTTCATTCCAAATCACCTTAATATTAGAAAAATATTTTAGTGGTGCTACCAAGGAGAGTGTATAACAGTCGGAAAACGACCTGACGCCGTTGATGGAGGCTGGGGTCCTTGGAGTAGTTGGGGAGATTGCTCTAGAACATGCGGTTCAGGAGTTCAGAATTCTGTTAGGTGAATATATCGGTTCTATCATACGTAAAAAATGCTATTGCATACTAATATTAATATGTATAATAAAGTATTATAATATAAAAACCTTTGCAATATTTACTGTTATAGTAATAGCAAAATAACAATAACAATAATAATGATAAAAACAATAATGATAGTAGTAATAATGATCTTTATAGTCGTTGAAATATTATTCACGGTTACGGTTCTAGTATAAATGACCAAAACTAATAAAGATTAATAACAATAATCGAAAAATGCTCATAATTTTAACAAAGCTATAGTTGGCACATGCATGCAAATAATTTACAAACACCGTGAGATAATTTTTTCTATTGTTTTTTTAAGACATTCTATCAAATTTAGTATATATATATATATATATATATATATATATATATATATATATATATGACCGTTAACCGTTGAACCGTGCAGACGTGTTTTTTGAAGTGTCGTAATGTCTCTGACACAATTAAATATTCCGGAATCGGATTCCAAAAAAACCTACAACTGCTATGAAACAAAACCTTCTGCAAGTGTGGGTGTTTGTAAGAACTGTGGAAAAATTTACCATGTGAGTTGTGCCACAAGAAAAGGTTTCAAATTCATTGTTGGAAATTTGATACAGTGCTGTGAGGTGAGCAGTGAAGTGTCGAGTGACAAACATATCGATACTATTAACAACTTAAAACAAACAATTACCGACAAAAATACCATAATAGACGATACAATGACAATAATAAAGGATAAGGAATACATAATTCAGAATCTTGAAGAAAAAATTAAGATGCTGCAATTATTAAAGCCAAATGAAAAGAATAAAGAAGTTTCGTCAGCTGCACCCAATATTGTTAGTAATACTGAGAAAGCAGCATCTAAGAAGCGTAAACATAAATCTACCAATAAAAACAGTGCCAATGCTAATAAGGTCTCAAAAGAACAGGTGAGTGTTGCAGTAGCAACTGCTTTAAAGGAATTAGACAAGCGTAGAAGCGAAACATTCCGAGATGCGATTGCCAACAAGGAGCTGCCTAATCAATCGATCCAAGCTGAACAACAATCAATTAAAGCAAATGATTATGGAAACTGGACTTTGGTCCAGAAAAGGAAGTCGCCGAAACGAAAAAACAAAGCCATAGAAGGAACAAATGTGAGCACCACACTCGCGGGAGTTGTGAGGAAGGCTCACTTGCATGTGTTTCGCCTGGCACCGGAAACATCAACGGCAACTCTAAAAAATTATTTAAATGAGAAAAACTTCAAAAATATTGAATGTGAGGAAATGGCTTCTAAACATCTGAAAACATATGCCTCTTTCAAGGTATCCGTTGCAGAGAGTGAATTGGAAAGAATAAAATCTCCGGATGTTTGGCCAAAAGGAGTCTGTGTGGACCGTTTTTTATTTCATCTGGGAGAAAAAATGAAGAAAAATTGTTAAACTGGTTTAATATGTACTGTCCTTGAACATTCAATGTTTATCCAATAAAACGGAGGCATTAACAAAAGTTGTCCATGACAATAAAATAAACATTTTTTGTTTATGTGAACATTGGCTTGGCAACTAGCAAATCGACCTATATACGTGTTTTTCGGCTAGTCAGCTCATTCTGCAGTAGTATACATATGCACGGAGGTGTTGCTATTTACTGTCGGAAAGAGATAGAATGTGACGTTGAAATTTACAACAAGCTTTCCAATGAATGGAAATTTAAAAGCAGGAATTGTTTCAATGCGACTGTCAAAAAACATCCTATAGATCAACCTATTTATACAATAAATGAATTCTTTAATCTAAGTTAATTATTAATTGTCATTAGGTTAATCTTGAGTTGTTCATAAATATCACTGATATTACTATAGTTATATTTTAATATTGTGATAAAAATAATAATTGTATTGACGTAAATTGTAAATATTGAATTTAAATAAAGTATCTATCTATCTATCTACCTATATATATATATATATATATATATATACATATATATGTATATATATATATATATATATATATACGAGGTCTGTTCAAAAAGTTTTCGTAATTTTCGTTTTTTCAAAAAAATATTTATTTATTCGTCTACATTAATGTGGTCCCCTTCAAAGTAGTCCCCCCCAGATATAATACACTTATGCCAGCGTTTTTTCCAATTTTCGAAGCACCCTTGATATTCACTTTTTGATATGTCCTTGAGCACTCTCGGCGATTTTCTTCAATCGAGGAAAACCGCCGTCCTTTCATGGGTCTCTTCAGCTTTGGGAATAGGAACAAGTCACACGGAGCCATATCTGGTGAATTTTTGCACTTTGCAACACTTTATTTCATTTTTTACGCAAAATTTAATACAAATTCTTTGACTTTTTCAATTCTTCCATTGTAAAAATCGCCGAGCTCAGAAAAACACGTCGAACCTTAGCGACTACCACAGACAAAGTAAACAGTGAATATAGCTGAAAATTTCATCATACTTTAGGGGCATGTATACCAACACAATAAAAAAAAAATTTTGACAATCAGACACTCCAGACCCGCGAAATTTAATTATTAGTAATTCCGGGTACTTTTTGAATAGACCATGTATATATATATATTTAATTTGAGTTAAAAAGTCGGGCAATAAAAATAGTATGAGAGTTTTTAGAAATTTATTCATTAAAAATCGATACGATTCGACTAGCATCTTAGTCTTCATTCAGTGGCAATCAATTTAACTATAAAATATTTATATTAATGTAACGCCAGACTTTTCAATTCAAATTAAGCATATTATATCAACATCAAATTCAAGACTATTCAAATATATATATATATATATATATATATATATATATATATATATATATATATATATATATATACATTGCTGGATTTACAGTAGGGGCAATCGGGGCTACTGCCCAGAGCGGTAAATTTTGGGTATAGAAAAAAATTCTACACAATATAAACAACACTTTTTTGACAACATTTTTATTTCAAGGAATATTATTAACAAAACATAATACAATTGCAATGCAAAATTTGGGTTGAAATAACCGATAACTAAAATTTATTATTTTGCATTGCCTCCCTTTCTGAACGTAAATTTTCAAATTGGTTAATAAATTATCAATTTTGGCAATTTGGCTAATATAAAGATCCGTCAACGAGCTGAAAGTTTAAGAAAAATATGTTCTTCAGTTCTCGATCCCTCTTAAAATGACGAATTTGTGCACTTCCAAGCTTATATGCAAGAATGTAAGAATCAATTTGAAACGATAAATATGTTACAACTGATGTATAAAAGTAGAGAGTAAAATGACTAACGACAGAATAAATTTATTCCCTAAGAAATCAGAATGCAGTTATGTTTCATGCTACTGCGAGGAAAATGTTTGGATGCTTTGTGATAAAGTGGGCAAAGAAAATGTGGAAGAGTTGAGTAGGTGCTACGCAGTTTTCGTATAGAATGAAGGACGAACGGTTCCGTTATGGCGACAAAAGGCAGGTCATGGAGATGACCATATTGTTATGTGGGACTATCATGTGTTTTTCATACACTCCACCCCAGCACAGTGTCTCGTATTTGATTTAGATTCCCAGTTACCATTTCTCACTCATTTTCATAAATATGTGACGGAAACGTTTCGATCAGATTTGGCATTGAATCCAGAACACCATAGATTTTTTCGTGTCATACCAGCTGATCAGTTTATAAATAGTTTTGCATCTGATCGCAGGCACGTGTTGAGATGGCACTTGGCTTAAACCACCTCCTTTGTATTTCTTGTAAAGATGAAGAACATAATTTAGATGATTTCATTGACATGACACATTCGAAAGGACTTGGAATAGTTTATAATTTAATTTCTTCTGTAAACAGGTTTTATTCGTGCACTAGCACATGAATATTTCCGAAATCGCCTCTTTTGAAACTCTTTATATTAAGAATTGTACTTCATGGAATGTGATACTGATAATAAACTTCACACAATTGTTAGGAACATGAATAATGAAATATAGCGTCAAAAAAAAAAAAAAACTCACTCATGCCATTGTGCCTTAAGACAAATTACTGAAACATTCCGTACTGAAAATTACATTTTATAAAGAGCTTTAAATTTTTTTGGAAAATGAAAAAAAAGACTCTTAAAACACATTTTTTGTATTTTGAAATTTTTCGAAAATTATGAACTTTTTGCAAAGCATTCGCGCTGCGTAGGTATGTCAAAGAAGAAATATCAACAATCACGAAAATTACCATTTTTCGTAATTGCCTGTGTCAAAACGTCTCCCTTTTAATACCAATCTAATATTGTTTAATTATTCAAGTCGATTTCAAGAACACGGATAAACTGATTTAAATGATTCAATTTCTATTGATAAAGAGACGTGCTGATTAGTTATTGGCCAAGGCAGGGCCAACTGTTTTGAAGATACGGGCCAAAATGCCAAAAATGATAACTCAGTTTTTGAGAAAAAAAACGTCCAATATTATTCAAAAAAATTACAGAATAAATAACTGCTTAAATTTGTGGGGGGCAGGTTTAGCGGTTTCGATGATCCAATAAAAAATATTGAAAAAGAAACATTTGGCGGACAAAAGCGAACATAAAACATATGCACTTTAAATTATCAGATATTTTAAAAATATCATAATAATAAGTATAAATTTTGTTTACATTTATATGCGTTCTGCAACATTGTTTAACCGTTCCACTGCGACGCGGCGCTTACGAGCTTCTATATTTTGTCCCTACGCAGCTGAAGCAGTTCGAAAGTTCGTAAAATTTCAGGGATGGGGCGGTATTTTTGCCAGTGCCCCGGGGCGCCTAATTTCTAAATCCGGCCCCCTATATATATATATATATATATATATATATATATATATATATATATATATATATACATATATTTATATATGATTTATTTATATATGATTATTTTAGATCTATTAGTTATTATATGTTTGCAAATTCTATTGCCATTTAATTAAATCTTGTACAGGTACTGTGATACGCCGTCTCCAGAAAATGGAGGTGAGCCTTGTAGTGGAATTAGCAAAAGACACAGGATATGTGCTACAGAGGTGCGATAATTACATTATATAAAATAATATGTATATATATATATATATATATATATATATATGTTTAATTTGAGTTTAATATTCGGGCGTAACATCAATAAAAATAGTATGAGTTTTTTTTAAAAAATTTATTTATTTAAAATCCATACGTTTCGGCTAGCATCTTAGCCATCATTCAGTGGTAATCAAGTTAAAATTTTGTATCCTAATATAGCATATGAAACCATTATTAATCCATGGTATGAGTATGTGCACATTGATAAGATATGTATTTTTTAACACAAACATCACAAATGGTAAAACACACTAATAATCATGATAACTTGACAAGTTGTCGAAACTATGTATTTACTCTTCGGAGTTTAGGATAGAAATTATCAAATTAAACATATATATCAACATCAAATTCAAGACTATTCAAAAATATATATATATATATATAATTATATATATTAATCAAATTAAACATATATATCAACATCAAATTCAAGACTATTCAAAAATATATATATATATATATATATATATATATATATATATACTCGTATATATATATATATTAGATGGTGGATTTGTAAATATTTTGTAGAGCTTCGAACAAAGAATCCAAAAATAATAAAAAACAAAAAAGTTTTTTAAAAAACCATTTCTTTATTTATTTACTCTATACGTTTCGGAACTACGTACGTCCTATCTTTAAGACATCTGTCAAGAAACATGATCTTGATAAGATTTAAACAAACAATATATTTAAACAAAGTAGAAAATGGTGGATTTTTTTTTATAAAATAGTGGAAGAGATAAAATTACAGAAATATAGCAATATAATCAAAATGAAAATAATGAAAATAAATGAGAGAATTAAATAACAAAATATTAGAAATGTTAGAAAATTAAAATGTTTTTACCCAATTTTTATATTCGCGGCCAAAAATTTCGATATTCGGATTTCGGATTCCAATGTGAGCCGAACTCAAAATTCTTCTGTTAATGCTGTCACTTTGAACTAATATAGAAAATTTTAATATAAGCCGCCTCGGCCGTATTCGCGCTATCGGTATTTTTGAGAATGTAAACCGATAGAATAAAAGCAACCTTATTTATTAGTTACAGTCCATGAATAAAATATATTTTTAGTAAAATTTGACTCAAATCGACATGAAATTTTCATTCCCAGTTCATTGAAGTAGTGCAATTTTTTTCAATTATACAAGCAATATATACGTGACATTTAATTCGAAAAATCTTAGTGGAGGATTAAAAACAATTTGTGCGATTTCTATATGAACATTGATCCGTATATGGAAAGTCTTTCTTTTAAGAGGCGAATTGCTGATGTGACTGTTAATATAAGTTTGAATTGAGAAAGCAGTTGAAAACTGCCGAGCAAGACAATATTACAAAGTTATTTAAACCATTGTCTTAGCTTCAACATAATTAATCAAAATGTACTAAAACTATAATTAAAAATTTTTTTTTTATGTAATATGCAATATCTTAAGTATAATATATTCCATATTAAAATTAGTTCGTAATAAATTTAGTATCACATTTAACATTAATATAAAACTTTTATATTAATATAAACCTCTAATCCTATATAAAATGCCATCCTGTATTGGCGGATTCTTTACTCGCGGCTTTTTTATGGAACGTATACCCCGCAAATAAAGAGGTTTTATTGTACCTATATAATTAATTAGAAACAATTTTATCAAAAAATGTGATTTTAAAAATTTCTTTTCAGGCGAAGAAACAAATTTTGAAATTCAAATTTTTAAGTTGTGTCTGTTTTGAGTTTGTTATACAAATCAAAAGTATTATTTCATCTATGTTAAGGAATGATCATTTGGTAACCAACTGATTATTTAATGGATAAATTTCAAGGAGAAACACTTGACTTAAAATCTGTGTGTATGTGTGTGCGATTTGTTTTTATATAACAGAATGTAAAAACTTAAACTAGTTGGTATTGGTATTTTGCCTTGAGGCAAGTTACACGAACTTCCCGATTTGTGTAAATAATTGACTTAATCCATGATAGATAAATTAATTTATGAGTAGTTAAAAGTATTCAAAGTGGATTTATTACACATGTCAACTCGGTCGGAATATTTTTTAAAAGCAAATTTTCAAAAATCAATAATTTTTATAATTGAGCCAGTTTTTTGTAGGACTCTAATTGTTTAGTATGTTCATTAAGACCAAGTACTCTATCGTTATACCAAGTAAATCGTCAAATTTTAATTTTAACAAATGTCAAAACAGCTACTCATTTTCTTCAACTTTAATGAATTTTTATAATTAAACTACTTGTCGTAAGGCCGTAATATTTCAGTAAATTCAATAAGACCATGATATATATCATCAAAAAAAGTTCCATGAAAATCGGCTTAATTTTTATTTCAACAGTTAATTACAAGTAAACGGCTCGGTAGATTTTCACCTAAAACTAATCAGTATCATTCCCAACTAATATCTTTCGAACAGTTTTGGGTTTTTTAAAATCGATTCGGTAGTATGAGCTTAAATGTGGACGAAAAGTTCAACACTTTTTTCCAAATTACAAAGAAACGGTTCGACCGATCGTAGCACAGAACTGAGAAACGATAATCCTTATCGAGATACATCAAATGGTTTTTGAATTTCTGAAATCGGTTCAGGCGTTTTTGAGCAATCGTTGATGAAAGTTCTAATTTTGACAAATGCCAAAAAACCATACTAATTTTTGCAAACTTTGACGAATTTTTAAAGTTAAACGAGTTGACGTAGGGCCGTAATATTTTAGTATAATCTAGAAGACTACGGTTTCTTCCATCAAAAAAATAATCATCAAAATCGTCGATTTTTTTTTCAAACTTTATTACAAGAAAATAGCCCGGCCAATCTCTACCAAAAACTAATCAGCAATATCTTTCAAACGATTTTTGAAATTTCAAAATCGATTCAGAATTGCGGGCTAAAACGTAGATGAAAAATTTTTCACTTTTCTGCGATTTATAAAAAAACGAGATACACTGAATGGCGTTTAAATTTTTGAAATCGGTCCAGCCGTTTTTGAGAAAACGTCGATTTACGGAAAAAAATTTGCTGACACACACACACACATACTTTTTCCAAATTTAGTCTTATTCGATTCAGAATGTCTTGAAACGTCAAAAAAACATAAAATTAGCGAATCGGATTTTTTGATGAAAACATAAACTTCTTCTTCATGAAGTTAATTATTGATCTTAAATGGATGTCTATATTGTAAAGTACAGGAACAGAGAAGTAAAATTTTTTTGAGTAGACAGACGTATAAAACTAACAAGAAAAAATGTTTTTTATTAATTATTCGTCAAAAAGTGTAAAAAAATCAAATAAGAATCATGTAACAGGTTGTGATCTGATCTAATGTTAACACTATTGGAGGCGTTCATAAGTATAAGATAACTTCCCGCAAATAACCTCTTAAAGATCAAAAATTTTAGGAGTGAAGTTTAACGAGTGAGCATTTTCCACAGGGTGCTGTACCAAGATACTTTTGAAATTTTTTTGTTTATGGTAAATCACACTTAGTTCATGTTGCCTCATTCTTTTGTGTACCTATTGTAAGGTTTGTCCAATGTATTGGAAAAAAACAGGCATTGCAAGAAACAGAATATACTATGTCGTAAAAGTTTGTTGAAGGAGTATAAGGATGAACCTGATACTAGAATGTACCAGGATTTTGGCAAAATAATAATATAACTCTTCAACGTATGGCATGTCGCAATTTGTTTCAGTCAATAAATAAAGAAATGTTTCTTTAGAAAAACTGTTGCTTTTTATTACTTTTTAATTTTTTGTTCGAAGCTCTACAAAATATTTACAAATCCTATACTCTATTATCTAATATATATATATATATATATATATATATATATATATTCATAATATCTAAACATTTTAATTATTTTGATATTTTTTGATCAGCCATGCGAATTTGGCCAACCTTCATTTCGGGATCTTCAATGTGCAGAATTCAACAACTGGATTTATCCAGAAGATGGCAAAACCCATACGTGGAAAGGATTTCATATGCATGATGGTATTTAATAGATTATATTTTAGCAATTCTTTTTATTAATTTACCGATTAGAATACACTCACTTTCCCATATTCGTAAATAACCGACTTAATTCATAAAAATTGCTATTTTGCAACTATTTGCATTGTGGCAATAAAATCTGCAACTGTTTATTTTGACAACAAACTTTCCGTTCACTATTGAAAACTAATAAATATGCAACCTCAATACAAATATTCATGATTTTTTATTATTCAATCGCTTTTCGTAAGCCAATAATATTTTGAGATGTATGTTTTTCATTCTGTCAATACAAGTAACTTTTTTTTGAACGATTGAAATCTTAAATCATTACCATTTTTGGCAACTTTTACACCGTATCTTTAAAATAGCTGAATCTGTCTTGGTTAAGTTAATCCACAGATTTTGATTTTGGAATTGACGGTCTCCTGAACGAGTATTTCAGCTTCTTTGTTGCTGTTCACTATGATCGTATCTGCGACGTTGTCAGCAAAGCCCGTGGGTTCCACCTGCTTTGGCAACAGGATCTCCAAAATCTCGTCGTAAATAGCGTTCCATAAATTGCCCAGCAAAATTGAGCCTTGAGGTACACTAGCTGTAACATCGTGCTCTTATTGACCTTTCGTCGTTTCCACTTTCTCTCGGCAAGGTAGTAGTCTAACATTCCTAGATTTTGGAAGAGACACACCTTACCACATACCATGCCTCTTTTGCTGTCTCCGTCATCTTCCGAATCGCACCGATTTTCGATCGACATTTTCGAAAACCATATTGGTTAATAGCAAAACCACCGGCGATGTCTAACATGCGCAGTGGTTTAAACGGCGTTGGTGTTATAGGGGTTCGCTTGCCTTTATCTAATATGACCAATCCCTGCCGCTTCTAGATCATAGGAGACGTTCTGGATGCTAGACAAGCATTGTAAGAGTTGTAAGCAGGATATATGGAAATTCTATTGCTACGGTTTTAATCACTGAGTCTGGGATGCCACCGGGACATGGTGTTTTTTATCTTGACGGTTTTCTCCCCCTCTTGCAGTTCCTGTTTAACTATTTTCCACGTAGCATGTCCCGCTGCAATGCTATTGATCATAGCTGGAAATTTGGGCGCTTCATAGTCCTTTCTCTACTGATCTTTGTCAAAATCGTTGAAAATATCCTTGCACATTCGGCTTCAGCCGATTATATGGCTTTATTCATAGTTTTCTTGGCCTGTTTGTACTCGTTTGCATATATACCTTGATCGAGAAAGTTTTTGCGGCTCTTGAGGCGCGGCGACGTAGAACGTGGCATTATTTTGTGGCAGTTCTTCTGTGATGACCGCCAATATGCTGAACTGTGTAGACTCCGATTCTTTAGTTGTGGCATAGAGACTTTACATGTGGTAATAATAGCGTTTATAGTTTGTGCCTCTTAGCATTCCAACTACACGTGTGAATGTTGCATGGTCGAGTCGGACCAGGTTCAATGCTGAATGTCACATGTTGTTAATCACTACCACTATATTCTTCAGTTACCGTCCGGTTTTCTATCATATTTACTGTCCGTGCAGTGGCCAACGTAATGTCGAGAATAGATTCCTGACGTTCCTACGTCATTTCTTCTGATGTCTGAATATTCGGCGCCCCATTCAGCACATTTCGCGTTGAATTTACCAGCTACTATGGCTTCTCCGTCGAACTTGCCGATAGCGCCCTCTATATTCGCCATTTTCTGTCGAAAATCTCCGATTCCTTCATTATCTGAAAAATCGATGCTCACAAAATGGTCGTGGGAGTCTTGATCCAGACGAAGCCCTCTCCACTTCTGTTGTCAATGACATTGGTTTTCTTCGAATTTATAATCCAGATTTTTGCCGTGCCTGATTTATTGGCGGAGTGAGGATAGCAGCCTTTTTATGTTTAGCTTCTGGTCCTTAGGTCTTGGTGCCTGGGTTACACCTGGCTGAATAGTTTCTTCGGTCTGCGTTGATTGCACTTTCATTACTATATGAGCTGCTCTATGCACACATTGATTATTTCCACTTCTTGAAAAACTGAAAAGGAGAACCCGCGCGTTGCTCGTCTCGGATTTTGATGAAACTTGGCACAATGGTAGATTTGATGCCCAAACTGACTCCGGTAAAATATTAGAGGCCTTTGAAAAGCGGTTTAATTATAAAATTTAATTAAAGTTTGCGTTGTAGCAGCGCGCGGCATGCATAGCTTGCGATGTTTTCCATTATCAACAGCAGATTGGCCGAGTGGCTATCGTCGTGGAATTCTAATTTTTGCTCCGGGGTTCAATTCCCGATTCAGATATATTTTTTTTATTTGATATTTATAATTTCATGTGTAAATAATATCAAAATTTATTTGATTTTTCAATTAATTTTATATTTTTCGCTAAATATTCTATAATAAAGTCATCCGCAATACCGGTAAATTTTTATTTTGATATTACTTATGAAACTTACGATCATATAAATGTTAAGTGATTCCTGAAACATTATAATTTTGTATTAATATCAGCAATAATACGGAAAAAGAGATATTATATCTCTTCTTTAATTCTCTTTAAAAGAGATATTATATCTCTTCTTCCGTATTATTGCTGATATTAATACAAAATTATAATGTTTCAGGAATCACTTAACATTTATATGATCGTAAGTTTCATAAGTAATATCAAAATAAAAATTTACCGGTATTACGAAGGACTTTATTATAGAATATTTAGCGAAAAATATAAAATTAATTAAAAAATCAAATAAATTTTGATATTATTTACACGTGAAATTAAAAATATCAAATAAAAAAAAATTAAAAAAAATAGATCTGAATCGGGAATTGAACCCCGGAGCAAAAATTAGAATTCCACGACGATAGCCACTCGGCCAATCTGCTGTTGATAAGGAAAAACATCGCAAGCTATGCATGCCGCGCGCTGCTACAATGCAAACTTTAATTAATTTTTATAATTAAACCGCTTTTCATAGGCCTCTAATATTTTACCGGAGTCAGTTTGGGCATCAAATCTACCATTGTGCCAAGTTTCATCAAAATCCGAGACGAGCAACGCGCGGGTTCTCCTTTTGAGATATTCGTGCGAAAGTACTTGGCATAATCATAACTTTTTGCGATTATAATAACATTTCGGAATGATAAAAACTAGCATTGTATAACTGTTTTTTTTTTTGACCATTGAATAATAATTTATTAACTTCTTGTAGGGCAAGTTGTAGTAATCGCAAAAAAAGCGAAAATGAAAATTTTTATATATCTTTACGTTTGAAAGGTTTCTCAACATTTTGGCATACCTTAGAAAAAATTTATGTATGGGTTTATGTGTGTGTGCGGATACAAATTTTCATCGACGATTTCGGGAACACGGTTCAACCGATTTTAATAATTCAAAAAGCATTCGATTCGTATTGATAAGGAGACGTGCTGATTAATTTTTGGCGAAGACATGTCTAGCCGTTCCGAATTTACGGGGCAAAAATGATCATTAGACATATGCACATCAAATTATCAGATATTTTATAAAGATTTTTATAATGTACATTTACATTTAGTGTAAATTTTATTGGGTACCGTACCAAGAGATTCAATTTTGAAGTTTATTTTTATGGTTCAAACAAATATTCTCGACATTTTCGACAGTATGGAATAACCGATTTGGATAATGTATAAAATATTCGTTTTGTATTGATAAGGAGACGTACTATTAGATTTTGGTCGAGGCAGGTCTAGCCGTTCCGACGATACTGGGCAAAACGTGCCAAAAACGGTAACTCAGTTTTTAAGAGAACGGGGCGTCCGATTTTAATAATTCAAAAATCATTTTACTTGTATTGACCAGATGAAGAGCTGATTAAAGTTTTTGGAAGGCAGGTCCAACGGTTATGGACTCTCAATAAAAATAAGTTAAAAAAATATCATTTGGCGGTCAAAAATGTTTATTGGGCTTATGCACATCAAATTATCAGATTTTTATAAAGATTTTTATAATGTGTACGCATTTTGTGTAATTTTTTTTGGGTTTCGTACCAAGATTTTTAATTACGGTACCGAAAGTTCTAGCAATTTGCCTTAAGGCACGATGCCATGCACCCCACTAGTTTATATAAGATTGATTATTTTTATTTCTCGAATGCTTAACTAAGGTTTCAGCAACTTGCTTTAGAGCACAATACCAAGCACCACGTTTTCAAATGCGTGATTAGATGAAGTCTACTAATTCCTTTAATCTGATAATATAATATTATTCTTCATTTGCTTGAACATGTAAATTTACAATTTGTGTAAGCGTGCATCTGTTGTTTGTACGATCGCTGCCCTATCATATTAGGTCCATAAAATACGAAATATATAGGTCCATTAAATACAATTTTTATTATTACTTATTAATTGTGTTTCTTGAATGTTACGGCATGGAAATTCCAAGCGATTTGCCTTAACAAAATACCACGCAACGCTTGTTAATTGTAACATTTTGTTTGAATTGAGGTTTCATACGTATAAATATAAATCATATATAACAAATGCATATATTCTACAAACTACATAATGCATTTTGCTTTCAGAAAATCCATGTATTCTATTCTGCGTCAATAACGAAAAAGTTGTCGCATCTTTGAAACCAAAGGTGATAGATGGTACTACATGTCATCATGGAATACGAGATATTTGCATCGGAGGCATGTGCACGGTATGAGTATGATCATTTATATACATAAATTAAGTTATTAAGCTCTCCATAAAGTGATTAATTTTAAGTTGACTTGAATGTTTAGAAACACAAAAACCCAATTTGAGGAACAAAAAAACTATTTTGTGTTATCATAGTATTAATTTTTGGTTTGCCGTTAATAAAGCTTTAGATAATTATTTTTTATTTATTTTTAAGAAAATAAACTTCTTTCTAGGCCTCCATAAATCAACGCAAACTATAGTTATTACAAATAAAATATTTAAGTCTCCTATATGATAAATTTTTATTATAAACCATCGTGAACTACATTTATTACAGTTACTTACAATACAGTTAATTATATAGACATGTAGCATAATAATGTAATCCTATGTTATTTATACAAACACATACAAACACACATACGGGCATGTATACATATACACGTGCACAGACCCGCACACGCGTGGAGAATCAGAAGATTGAGGCTTTGAAACGTCTCGAAACACTCCTCAGCAACCTTCACAAGATGATTAAAACAAAATCCAATATTCACATGGAGACAAAGCCAAACAGTCGTGGTGATAGAAAAATCAAGGGACACCGGAGCGGAAGCCGACATGGGCACTGGCAAAAGAAAGAATCGTAATTCTCCACACCCGATATACGGTCAGGTGATAAAAGGACTTAAAACCAAGTCCCCCGAAGATTGTGGCAGAGCAGAACACAAGAAGAAAAAGGCGACTGATTGCAAAGGTCCAATCAAAAAAACAAACAAAAGGGCTAGCCAAAGAGCAGATAGTAAAGTAGCAGCCAAAGGAGCGCCGCCTGGAGCCCAGGAGGAACCAGCGCAAATTTCTCAAACCCGGCGTACTTTTAATTCGACCAGCCGAAAAGGCAAAGTATGCCAAGATTCTTCGTCAAATAAAGCAGGGACGTCTCTGACAAGCAGGCCTGGTCGATGGTAGATAAGATCAACAAGACCTGACATGAAAAATAGCTGGAAAAGCCTATGAGACCCCAGCAATCATGATGCGTATAGCCTACAGAGGCACCACAGTTGCTACAGTAACGTTACCATCGGCTATGGCGCAGAAATTGCTCGACGGAGTCGGCATATTTTGGATTTCTGGGCAAACTGCCATATAAGAACTTCTTATAAGTTCACGAATTTTAGTGCAGAAGTAAAGTTAACCGTTCAAACCTTTGCATTCACGTTGACAACAAGGCCACAAAATCACTGGTCATCTATGGAAAACGGATACAACATCTATAGCCGTTATTTGGTCCTGTGGCTTTCCATTCAGAGTACAGTTACCAATGACAGTGTCGGCTTTGTATCTGCAACAATAGGTGGCATCCCCTTTTACAGCTGCTACGCACCACCTAGCCTTCCCATCGTGGGATTCACTAACTTTCTTGATTGACAAACCGAGGATGGGAAGCAACATCATTCAGTGGCGATAGCCAGAGATTTTAACTCCTGGACAGTATATTGAGGAACCAAGCATACCAACGCACAAGGAAGGAAAACACTACTGAAACTTTTAGTACACTAGACGTTGTCCTGCTCAATACTAGTGCTACGCCGATCCGAAAGAAGGAATTTTCTCAGAAAGTGGAAACAACAACGACTGGCACTGCTCCCCAAGAGAAATAAGTCACTAGATGAATCGTTATCCTACCGTCCACTCTGCATGTTGGATAGGATAGTA